ATATAATAGAGTATGATGCTTAGCTAACTCCGATCCATATAAATAATCTTACTACAAGACAAGAAGACACCTCCAAAGATCAAAGTCAAGGAACTCCCATTAAATGAGACAGTTGGAACGAGTAATTAAGTGCTAATTTAATTGAGTTATAGATGGGAAGATGGTCTCTTATCTTTACCATAGGGTTCATAAAACATAGAAATCGCCTAATACATGAGTACACAATTATTAAGGAACTTGATATTATGACATTAATATATATAAGGATCATGGTTTTAATTATTATTAGGTTAAATGCCCAGCCTCACACTTAGCTTGTTTGAATAGATGGTATTTTCTTTATTTAAGTGTTACTCCGTAATATAATATTATAAAGTTTACTACTATGCGCTCCGTAGTTGATCAAAGTAATACACAATTCAAATTTATAAGTGATTTGAGTATTACACAACTACATTATAAATTTCGAACTCAGACTAGCTAGAAAATTTTGTACATAGATCATATAACTTAGGATGAAGCATTTACATACTTCACCCATGGGAATAATTGGGTACTTAGTAATCCATGATCATATAAATCTTTTTTAGATATTTTTGAGAGATCAGAATATGAGAAATGTTTACCGTGCCTTTCTCATTGATTATACGTTCATATATATATACATGAGTATTCTAGGTTAAACTAATTAAAGATATACACAAAATAATATACAAAAATATTATTTACATAATTAGATTATTTGCATAATCTATAAGTTTTAAACTTAGTAAATTTATGAATTTGTCTTTCATTAACTCTTCCAAAAACATAGGAAGTGGTTCTGACAAAGATGCTTCTATTTTCAACCATTGGGGATAATGAAGTGTGAGTTGAAATCAAAAGAATAATATTCCATGCATGTATATGGTTGGTGACATGTACTAACAAAAACATTAAAATCATTAACACGCTGAATTAGTGGAGAAGAGTCTAATGGCTCAACTAATACGACTAAGAGTCTAATGTATCAGGGATGGTGTTGATGTTAATTAGTTAGATTAATTGGTAATAATGTTTTGGTTTGGCATGCGGTATCTAGCTTAGACTTAAGATCAAATCTCACACGTGTAACTTTCCTTTGTGGCTTTTCATTTGACTTTTTATACCGATCTACATTTCCACCATACAAAACTTTAGTCTTTAATTATCTCTGTAATTCTTGATAAAAGATCAATACGGAGTATCATTAATAGTACATATCATGAGAGAATTTATAATCTGTTTTTATCCATATGTTTTTACTAAATTTACGACTGAGCTGTCTTATTTCAAGCTATTCAAAAAGAAATATACTATTATTGAGGGATACATGGAGTATTAATTTAAATTTGGTACCTAATAACAACACAAAAGAAAACAAACATTTCTCATCACAATTACTTGATCTAATTTTTGGTAAATAAGCATAATATAAACACAAATTATTGCGTCAGTCCGGACTGACCAAATATTTCGTCAATCCAGCGGGTTTTTGCTTTATACCAATGATCACTCCCATCGACAGCGTAGTTATTGGCGGTGGTATCGTCGACGGCGAGAAACTCATTGATTGTTGATTATATTTGTCTATGATTTATGTTTGAATTGGCTTGATAATTGCTTGAAATTCTTGGATATTTCGAAAAATGCCCAAAAAAAATCAATTTGGGGCTTTCTTGTGTGATGTATAATTGTTGAAATTGATTGTCCTATGTGATTGTATGTTGAATTGTGAGCGTTTTGATAACAAATTCATGTATTTTGGTTGAGAAATGAGCATGTTAGCTTATACCCATAAGCTTAGTATGAGACCTTCAATGGTGGTTCTGCCATTGTTGACCTTCAATGGTAGGAAGACAATTATTGTATTTGTTTATTTTAAAAATAAAGATTACTAAATATAAAATATGTATAATTTTATTCATTCATTATCTAGATGATATCATCTAAAGACTGGATGATATCATGTATTGTATCTACAATATTATCTATACGATGGATGATATCTCCTCTATTGTTTTTTTTATATCCTCTATGTTTTTATGATATGAGTATCTTCAATGAGTTGGATGATATCCTCTATTGTTTGATGATATCCTCTATTGTTTTTATGATATCTGCTATAAGTTGGATGATATCATCTATTGTGTATATGATATTATCTATAGACTGGATGATATCCTCTATTGGCTACATGATGCCAATTATAATTGTGTTTATGATATCCTCTATTGGCTTGATGATATCCTCTATTGGCCATATGATATCATTTATAATTGTGTCTATGATATCCTTTATTGGCTGGATGATATCCTCTATTGGCTATATGATATCATTTATAATTGTGTCTATGATATCCTTTATTGGCTGGATAATATCCTCTATTGGCTATATGATATCATTTATAATTGTATCTATGATATCATCTATAGCAGGCTGGACGATATCCTCTATTGGCTATATGATATCATTTATAATTGTGTCTATGATATCATCTATAGGCTAGACGATATTCTCTATTGGCTATATGATGATATCCTCTAACAAACTGTAGTATCCTCTACCAAAAATAAATTGTACATATCCTCTATCACATACTACATTCCTATAACAAACAATACAATTCTACAACAAAACTGTACGTATCCTTTATTAAATAACACATATCCTCCAACAAGTTGTACATTTCCTCTATCAAATAATACATATCATGATCAAATACTGCATATCATCTATACTTAATGCACGAAATGTTTGGTGCGGTCTCTAATAAGGAGAAGTTACTAATACTCCCTCGATTAAATACTTAGCTTGCAATTGTATGACTCACATATAATATATAAAAATTAAATATTATTGTGTAATTTGATGTATACAGATACTCATCATATCAATTAACCAATACATACATTATGGAGTATTGCATATGATTTGCAGTCGAATTTGATCATCAACAAATATGTCAGTTAAACAGTTGCAATAACCATGACATAGGGAAAGTATATTACATACTCCCTCCGTTCCTAAAAATTCGACTCACTTTGCAATTGCGCGGTTTTCAATGAACATCTTTGACCATGAATAACTCTGGTTGTATATAAGTGAAATTTGTAAAAAGTTGATATTTGGATTATTTATAATAAGGAGAATCTAATATGATCTCACATGCTAATTTATTTATATTGTATAGCTCATAAAATGAGATCAAAGTTATTTTATTTTTACCACATGAATAATAAGTGAGTCAAACTTTCAGAAACGGAGGTAGTATATATTTTTTTTAAAAAAATTGTAGGTTTATTTAATAAGTTAACCAAAGAAAAATAATGTTGAAGTTTGAGTGGCAACAATTCTGATAAGTTGCGACATAAAACCAAAAGAAATCAAATCTATATAGATGGGAACTGTCGTAATGAGTACATACTACATCATTAGGGTTGAAGAATTATATAGTTTAGCCCTGCAAGCAATAACCTTTTTGGACCCTCCTAATCTTCCATTTTTTTTCCAATGATATTATCTTTTTCAAAGAACGACCCTCTTTAATTGTAACATTTTTTGTTGCAAAAAATTCTTCACTTTTTATTTTCATATTTATCGGTCAAAGTTATGGGGCTCAACATCATTAGAAAATCAACTACTATTAATACTACTTGAAAGTATGAAATATCTCATTAAAATGAGCTAGGTTGTCTATGGCTGACCTCATTAATTGGTAATCATGCTACTCTTCTTCACATGTATGACTCTTAAATATAGGATTAGCTTCTTTTACTTTGAATTATGTGGTATGTTTATTGTCATACAAAACTTTTTTCGTGTGACAACCGTTATTCTATTTAAGCGGGAACAACAAAAGAGATGGAGATATTATTATTTAACAAGCAAATAAATATTTGTCATTTTCTTAGTCAATATTCTACCCTGGAAGACAAGTTATGTGTTAAGGATAAGATGATTAATCATGGTTTGTAAGACCAATGGTTTTTGTACCACTCAAGCTGAGATGAATAAGAACAAGTTGAAACTATGATATCATAGGAATAAAAGGCCATAATACCCTGCCAATAATAAAGGCCATAACATTATTCTACATTAACATAGAATGTCTGGCTTTACAGCTTGTTCCTCGGCTAAATTTTATCATTTACTTCACCATTTGGTCACGCTAAAAAAAATCTTACCCGATAAGCAAGCAATACTACCCGTCAAATGGTTAGAGCTTCCCTCCCAATTCCAAGGGATCTTAGCTAGGATCGATTTTCATCACCCGTCCTTATGACTCTCTAATAAAAAAAATTATATACACCCAAGTGTAAGGTGCATCCAATGGTATTTTCTGTTCATTTAATATTTTTTGCTCATATAAGCATCTATATGAGCACTTGGGTGTATATAAAAGATGTTGGCTCTTTTAACAAAAAAAAAAAAAAAAAGTTAAACAAGTTAATAGTTAACTACCCTATATTAACAAATTGGGGTCTTGCACATTGTGCTAGTTTGAAAGTACTCTTAAAGAACTACCCAGTAATCAGATTTTTTAGTATTGCTTTGGATGATTTCGAATCTATTTTTGAAAACAAGTATTGCTTTTAATGATCATGGACTAATTAATATTTCTATGTTATTGCTTGTTTAAAAAATGTGTAAGATATTATTACATTATTATTTCTTATTATATATATACATATATACTCCTTGTACACTATATATCACTTGTAACATTTTACATATACCTTCAATAATAGATTTTCCCCTTTTTCTCAGTTTTCTCTCGTTTCTTCTTTTCTTCTTCTAAAGTTCATATGGTATCAGAGCCATTCTCAATCCGAGATTGCGATTTTTTGGTTTTGATCAATTGATTTCGTTGATTCTTGCCCCAATTCCTTCGCAATTTAAGGTCGCGATTGAAATCGAAGTTTCTACTTCTTGATTTTCCGATCGATTGCTTGAAGATCTGATTAATTGAGGTGAATCAAATGGCTTCTGGAAATGATAATGGAGGTGTTATTGGTGGCATTCATGGCGGAAATAATGTTGCTCTTTATTTCATTTCTAATTCGGATAATCCGAATTCTTCTCTTGTACCTGTTGTGTTTACTGGCGTCAATTATATGCGTTGGCGTCGGAATGTGTTGCGAGCACTTGGAGAGAAGAATAAGATCGGGTTCGTCGATGGATCGATTCCAGAACTTGTTGTGAATGATTCTTTGTTTTCTAAGTGGAAATGTTGTGATTACATGGTTATGAGTTGGTTGCTGAGCTCAATGAGTGCTGATATTGATGATGATTTTGCGTATGTTGAGAGTGTTGCAGAGTTATGGAGTGAAATCAAGGAGCGATTTGGTCAATCAAATGGTCCTTTGATTTCAGCGAGCTTAAGAAAGAGATTAACAATCTCAAACAGGATAATCTCTCAATTTTTGGCTCATTATGGAAAAATGAAGAGATTATGGGATGAAATGCAGAGTTTGCGTTGTTTTTCGACTTGTAGTTGTGGTGCTTTGGCTGGATGTAGTTGTGAATTTCTCAAGAAACTTCAAGATTTTGAGAGTGAAGAGAAATTGATGTAGTTTTTGCTTGGATTAAATGGAGGTTATGATAATGCTATTACTAATATTCTGACACAAGATCCTCTTCCTTCTATAAATCGAGCATAGTCGATTGCACAACAAATTGAGAAGCAGAAGGAGGTGAGTGGGAGTAATGATGTTGCAGAGAGCAGTGCTACGGCAGCTCAACATTTTTCAAGGAGTTCTTCTCAGCATCACGGTTTTGGTGCGATGATCAAGAAAGATTGGAAGAAGGAAAAATTCAATCGTGTGTGTAACCATTGTAAAGCTAAAGGTCATACTATGGACTAGTGCTTTAAACTCATTAGTTATCCTGACTGGTATAATGTGGTTAAGGCTAACAAATCTGGTGGTTCAAGAATGGTAGCTAATGTTGCTGTTGAAGATGGTATGGCTGATAGTCCTTTCAATCAGGGTAATATTGGAGATTCTGTCAATTCTGTTGTTGTGGCTTCGATATGTCAGGAGGTAATAAAAGCGATGAAGGATAAGCAAGGCTCAGATGGAGGATCTTGTTCTGTTAATTTTGTTGCAAATGCTGCAGGTATTACTTCTTATGCTCTTCACTGTGGTTCTGTTAAAGTTTTGAACAAGAATCTTTGGATTATTGATTCTGGAGGTATTGATCATATGGTATTTGATGAGTCCATTCTTGTGAATAAGTTGGTTTTAGATAAATCTGTGAAAGTTAGATTGCCTGATGGTAGTGTTAAGTATGTGAACATTATTGGCACAATGCGTTTAACAGAGTCTATTGTGCTTCATAATGTGATGTTAGTAAAGGGTTTTAAGCATAACTTGTTGTCTGTTGGGCAATTGATTGCTCAGAGTGGAGTTGGTGTTGTGTTTGATACTGGAGGTTGCAAATTTCAGGACCTTACTTTTGAAAAGTTGCTCGCTGTTGGACAAAAGTGTGGCGGTTTAAAAGTGAAGTGCATACGGTCTGATAATGGGACAGAACTTTTAAAGTCTCAATGCACTCAGTTGCTTCAGGCTAAAGGGATTATACATCAAAGGAGTGTAGTTGGTGTACCTCAACAAAATGGTAGAGTAGAAAGAAAACATAGGCATTTGCTTGAAGTGGCTCGGGCAATTAGATTACATGCTAATTTGCCTAAGAAGTTTTGGGGAGATTGTATCTTAACTGCTACTCACTTGATTAATAAACTTCCTACAAAAATTTTAGATTAGAAGAGTCCTTTTGAGGTTTTGTATGGAAAGGTGCCTGCTTATGATGAGTTAAAGGTGTTTGGGTGTCTTTGTTATGCCTATAACATAGATAAAACAAGGGATAAGTTTGACCCTAGAGCCAAGAAATGTATATTTCTAGGCTATCCTTTTGGACAGAAAGCTTATAAGGTTTATGACCTTGAATCTCATATTACATTTATTTCTAGAGATGTAGTATTCCATGAAAATATTTTTCCCTTCAAAGACTTTTCATCTAATGATTCTCATGTTCCTGTTATTCCTCCCCAAGTCACCTTTGGTGATGATAATCCAGAACACATACATATTCATTCTTCTCAACCCACATTACAATCCATACCTATTAATCTTCTTCTTCTTCTTCTTCTTCTTCTTCTTCTTCTTCTTCTTCTTCTTCTTCTTCTTCTTCTTCTTCTTCTTCTTCTTCTTCTTCTTCTTCTTCTTCTTCTTCTTCTTCTTCTTCTTCTTCTTCTTCTTCTTCTTCCTCTTCTCCTTCTTCTTCTTCCTCTTCTCCTAATAATTACTCTTTCTCTGAAAATTCCTTAAATATAAATTCTACCACTAATTCTGTCATGCAGAATCTTTCAGACACTTTCATGGATTTTCAAACTAGTTTTGAACCTGAAATTCCTATACAAACCAGAACTTCCACTAAAATTACAAAAATTCCCAACAAACTACAAAATCATGTTGTTCCTTATGCGCCTCATAGGCAACATAATTCACTTCCCTCGTCTTCATCAGCCACCTCAGAATCCATGTCTTTTGCTGTTACTTCAGATATAACAGAGCCTAAGACTTATGCAGAGGCTGCAAAGCATCCTAGATGGCAAGAGGCCATGCAAAAGGAGTTAGATGCTTTAGAGAGGAATGAAACTTGGATTGTTACTGATGGGAGTATAGAACGGTTGAAAGGAAGGGTGGTAGCAATTGGTTATCAACAAATTGAAGGAAAAGATTTCACACAAACCTTTTCTCCGGTTGCAAAACTTGCTACAGTGAGAATTGTCATTGCTTTGGCTGCAATATATAACTGGACTTTATGTCAGTTAGATGTAAATAACGCCTTTTTGCATGGTATGCTTGATGAAAAAGTCTACATGGTGCCTTCTTCTGGTCACACTAAAGCTAAATCTGGGCAAGTTTGTAAGTTGCAAAAATCGCTATATGGCCTAAGACAAGCTTCTAGACAGTGGAACAAAGAGCTGAAAAAATTTCTGTACTCGATTGGTTTTAGTCGGTCTACTCAAGATTATTCAATGTTTACCAGGATTTAAGATGGGGAGTTCCTGGTTATTCTTGTTTATGTGGATGACATGCTAATAACTGGTTTTACTATGACACAAATTACTCGAGTCAAGCAACAGTTGGATGATGCTTTTACCATCGAAGACTTGGGCGAACTGACTTATTTTTTGGGCATAGAGGTGCACAAGAATAAAAATGGTATTTTTCTGTCTTAAAGGAAATATATCAGGGATATAGTAAAAGATTCGAATTTGGATAATTGTAATACTACCAATGCACCTTTACCTATTGGTCTGAAGTTGTCTATTAATTCAGGTGAGTTGCTAAGTGATCCCGAAGTTTATAGGAGGTTAGTGGGAAGGTTGTTGTATCTTGGAATTACCCATCCTGATCTTTCTTATGAAACTCAGCATCTTAGTCAGTTTTTGCATCAACCACGAGTACCACACCTCAGAGCTGCTCTGCATGTTTTGAAGTACCTGAAAGGTACCTTAGATATGGGAATATTTTATTCATGTAATTCTAAGTTAGAGGTTCCTGCGTATTCAGATGCAGACTAGAGTGGTTGTCAATTCAGCAGTAGATTTTTGAGTTATGCTGTATTTCTTGGAGATAGTCTTGTATCTTGGAAAACAAAAAAGCAAGCAACAGTAAGCAAATCTTCCGCTGAAGCAGAGTATAGAAGCATGCCCTTTGCTGCTAGTGAGTTAGTTTGGGTAGAAGGATTATTGCAACTTCAGGTGCCTCTGCCCATCACTATTTATTGCGACAACAAGTCTGCAGAACATATGGCTCACAATCCTGTGTTTCACAACAAGACTAAACATTTGAAGAGAGACATACATTATATAAGGGAGCAGGTTGAATTGGGATTTATTTCAAATGATCATATGTTCCAAGTCATGCTCAACATGCAGATTTATTTACCAAAGCTCTTACTTCAGCTCAGCATCAGGGATTATGTTCCAAGCTTGGTCTGATTTCGTCCCAGTCTCAACTTGAGGGGGGAATGTGAGATATTATTACATTATTATTTCTTATTATACACACACACAATATATATATATATATATATATATATATATATATATATATATATATATGTATATATATATATATGTATATATATATATGTATATGTATATATATATGTATATGTGTATATGTGTCCTTGTACAGTGCATATCACTTGTAACATTTTACATATACCTTCAATAATAGATTTTCCCTTTTTTCCCTTTTTTCTCTCGTTCCTTCTTTTCTTCTTCTAAAGTTCATAAAATGCGTTGCAACAAATGCCAATTATAAAGAAAATTTCGGTTAATCCATGATCATGGCTTGACAAATCATGGCTAAATTTGCTTCAACTAACATACAATCATCATTTCAAATCTAGATTTTTAGGAATTGACATGATGCCAAACTTCGATAACTAACCCCTACAATTATGCTTCCATTTACATACTTCGTATTAGATTGAAACCTTGATTTTTGTCCCATTTTTATTCTTTATTTATTTGAACCATTTATTATTGAAGACTACACAAATTGTAATTCTATATGTACCCATACTACTATTCGAGAGCATGATGCGATTATATTCCCGTAAGAAAGGTCATAAACGGAAAAGAATGCTCGGAGTAACATACAGTGATATATATAGAGAAACTATAGCTAGTGATGTGTGTTGTCATATTATGTAGTCCCTCTAGTAAGTTGCTCCAAGAGTCCAAGCACATTTGAGTTTAGAACAACAGGTTGCACGACTATTCACGAACGTACTTACATTCTTTATTTTGTGCATAGTATGGCCTTTACCCACATTGGGTGTCCAACGTTGGACCTATGCCCTTTGAATATGTAGCTATTGAGTCCTTACAATTAAGGCCCTACAATGTCTTTGTTGTTCACTCAAAAGGCCATAAATCGAAGAATTAGGTTTGTAATTACACTGTTAATTTATCGATTATGGATTGAATTTGAACTATATACTTGATACATTGATTTTGTTTTTAGAAAAGAGAATTATAATATACTCGCCGATATAAACTCAATTACATACATATATAAATTAAGTTCGACTATCAACTTTGTTAACGAAAACATACATACGTGAAACGTATCTAGTAAGACGAGAGGTGATAATTCCTGCAAGAACAAACATAATAGGAGAATTTGTTCAATGTGCTAACTAAAAGAAGGGGGGCAATACTGTTGGAGATGACAATTGCTAATTATTCTAAACACAAAAACTTTTACGTAAAAATAATGATGTTGCTTTGTAATCTATTAGACACAATCGCTTTCATTAAAGTTAATCTAATGATAATAATTAAAGAGATTCCTAATGGTGAAAAATTATAATACATGTAATCCGATATAAGGTAGTCAGATCAAATGGCCCTAAAATAGTTTGTAACACTATACTATATATGATTATGTACCAAATTATTAAAACCTTTAGTGGGTTTATGAACTGGTGACAACCATGGGGTCATCATTTTGGAACAAGATCTCAAGTCACAACCAAATTCGTGAGTTGTTAGCTTGTGACATTGACAATCAAATTAAGCTACTATTCTAAATTCTATTACCTTGGACCGTTAGAAGTAGTACTTGGTGTAACTGTGCAAGTGTAACCTCTATATATATAACCTTGATTGACTATCTTCTCATGTGCTTCTTAGTCAAGAGTTCAATGATATTTTGATTAGCTAGGTTTAAGTTAAACTTAGCTGCTAGTAATAAGGAATCATCACTTGGTTTTATAGCAATATTATAGTAAAAGTTGGATCGATTAGTGCAAAATCTATTGTATACACGAGTGTAACTACTAGAGGAGTTTGTAGCTGCTAACAGAGTAACAGGTTTAATTTATAATCATTTACCAAATACATAACGTGACATGTTCGTATTATATTGAAAAAGTTAAAAGTGGTACCATCATTCAATCAAATAATACCTTTTATATAGTGTAATAGTAATACTAACATACTGTAGATGATTATAATGGTACTCACATGATGCAGTTCTCACCATAGATTTATCTCTCTTTTCCTATGTCTTTTTATTAGCTAATGGGCCCCAATTACACCACCTTTTATCTCCATCTCTCTCTCTCTCTCTCTCTTTCTCTCCCACCACATTTTAGCTCCATGCTATCAACTTATATAAGCTGAATTGAACATAACCTTAGTTTTAAATATTAAAAAATACTAGTAATAATTATCTTAGTTTATTACACTCCTAAAGTTGGTCAAATAAACTACTCTTTATCAAGGGTTCTAAGAAATTCACTAAGCAATTAATTGTTCCAATGTTCTTATTGATCATTTTATACAATTAAGTAGATATCATCTAACAATTATTTCCCTAACACTTTACCATGTGAATAACTAAACAATAAGCAAGTCAAACCATCTAACACAACTAGCGAACCATAATCAACTAAACAACTAGTTAACAGTTAATTAAGTGTCATTAAGGTCTATATTTACCTTCGTTTACATCAATTTATATTTACATTTAGTTTCTCATTGTACACCAAAGTATACTTATACTTTCACACACATCATGATTTTGTGGCTTATGCAATGTGCCGAGTGTGAATCTCATGCGCCCAAACACATGCATCAATCACATGTAATATCCTTATATTATTTTTAACAAATTTATGTACACTCGAGGAATACAATAGACATGATAAGAACGACCACGACAATGTTAAATAAATTAAGGATGGTATGTTTAGTAACCCATATAAATTTTGTATAACACACAAAAGAAGAAACCCAAAAGATAAGAGAATTAAACCAAGACCCACAACAATTGGGCCAATCTAGTATTTCCCTAACCTCATTAGAGAAGACTAGAACCTTCTAATTTGTTGACTTAAAGGGCATTTCTGCAATTTATGCTTGATAATTCATAAACCCTTTTCTCTTACATAAACCCTAGTTAACTGATTTAGGGTTTTTCTTCCGTCTATTTCACCTTCCTCTTTCTTGTGATTTTTCTGGAAAAATGGCGAAGCGTTTGATGCCATTGTTGAACAGAGTTTTGGTAGAGAAGATTGTTCCTCCTGCTAAGACTCATGCCGGAATTTTACTCCCTGAGACCAGCAATAAGGTATCAATTTCCTTCAAATTTTTAGTTTATTTTTAATCAAATTTATATTTCGTTATTGTTTTCTGCTTTTATATGACTAATTTGTGGGGGAACTTGTTGTAAAAATGTGTTTTTATGCTTGATTTTGTAATGGGTATGTTGCAAATTGGTAGATTTGTTATCTATCTGCTTAGATGTGTAAGAAATGCGAAGAAAATTAATGGGTTCATCTTATTTTTTATTAAAATTATGCTACATTATTGAGTTTTATGATTCTGATTGAATATATTGTTGATTAGGTTATCTGCTGATTACAATGGCAGTATGTTCTGCTATTCATCTGATTTATTGTGAGATGATGTTGGGGTTATTATGCAAATTAATTGTATGTTTGTTCTTCATAGATCAATTGATTATTATTTCCAAGCTGTTGCTGGCTGTAAAATTTGTTTATGATGCTTTGTTTTGGGGAGTTTGATTTTTGTTGATTGAATTAGTTATAGCTTATAGGATTATTACTGAAATTTCTTACTTGGATCGGATTCAGCTAAATTCTGGAAAAGTTCTTGCTGTTGGACCTGGCCTTCGTGACAAGACGGGGAATCATATTCCTGTGGCTGTCAAAGAAGGGGATACTGTACTCCTTCCTGAATATGGAGGAACTACAGTGAAGCTTGGTGAAAAAGAGTGAGTTTATTGTTCCCATATATATATATTTTTTTGTTTGAGATGCTTAATTTCTTTGTCGAATTTCTATAATTGATTGTTTTGACCCTCGGTCCTAAGAACAACTCTAATATTAATACGGATATCATGCTATACATTTACACCTGGTGCTAATTGAACTAACATGACAACTAAATCCAGATAAAAGTCGTAACTTTAGTAGATTTGCGCTGCTTGTTTCACTAAGTGTGATGGGGGCTCCTGATTTGTGTAACTGGTAAATGTGATATTCAATGTGAGAAGTCCATATGATGGTAATAATGTTAGTGAAGGGAATGTATTTCCTGTTGTATCCAAGTGTGTGTCTATGATCCATCTGCACTAGGAATAAAGTAATCTTCAGATTTGCTTATAAAAGGTCCTACATGAAAAAAATAAAATAGTTTTATAGCATTTGTTTGAATGGTAAAGCAACTAAGCAAGTAGTATCCATGAAGCTTTTGTGTGGAAAAGAGTAAAGCACCTGCTTCTAGAGTACATGGGGTTTACTAGTATTTAAGCTAGTCAATATACTACGAGTTTGCTGATTTTCAGCCCTTGTTTCTTTTTTAATGAGAACATTGGGTTTCAAAAGTTGATAACTAGCATTGAGGCTTCAGCAAGCTCTGCTTGACTTGAATATAACATGACCAGAAGTGTTTTAACTTTTTACATGTTAAATGACCTTGGAAGATGGATAAGCTGTTGCCTTTTCTTTTCTTTTTATTTTGGAGTGGGGAATTATATTAAGCAATGTAAACTTCTGACTCTGAGTATGTTGCATTTTTAGAGACCAACATGCTTATTGAAAATGTTAATGGGAATTCTCTTTGTACACACCCTTCGATGCCCCTAAAAAATGGGAATAGAGGAGACTAGAAGTCTGGAGTTTGTTAAAATAGGGGAAAGGTAACAAAGGGTTGCTAACTTAGCTGGAGGAAAAAAACAATTACTAAGCTAAAGTAGTTGTGATGCCTACATCAGGATTTTTGTTTGGTTTAACTTGAAGAGTGAGAGTCTTAAGAAACCATGCATATCATGCTAATGGGCTTGTTCCCCCTGTTTGCAATTCATGTCTTTTACCTCTTGTTAGCTATCAAGTTTTTTTGGAAGAAAAATAAACCAGCATTATTTATTGTAGTGGTATTTTTTTTCTGTTGCATTTTTTATTTTCATCGAGCCATCATTTACATAGGTGAGATTTGAAACACTTGTGTGCATTAACTCTGTTTTGGGGCATCAAGAAATGATAGTTTTGACTTTTATTAACAAAAGGATTGAATTAAAATACAAAGTACATTTAGACGGAGCCGGAGTTTGGACTTAACGAGGTTGTGGGTCAAGTTGATTTCTGCATAGTTAGAGGCTCCGATAATGTAATGTGTCTCTCTAGTAGGCTAATAACTTGTGTCAATAAAGGAAACTTGCCCTTTGGTGTGTTCTACCTGAAGACTATAGATCTTGCCAATGAGGTATGATGTAGCAGAGTTTATAAGGCATGAATATTATACTTGGCACTGGCCTATACGATGAAGCATTCAGTAATATATTTTGTTGTGTGTTGTGTTCCACTTCTCATCTCATTCATGACTCTGCATATCTCGTGGCACATGACTTATCTTGATTTTGATTCTAAAATATGTATAATGTACTCCAAAATGCATCTAAGTTATGCCTAATTTTCTTCTAACTAGTCAGTAATCACCAATTTCAGAAATGTATTCTGATGATGTTCTATGAAATGCAGGTATCACTTGTACCGAGATGAAGATATAATGGGAACACTGCATGACTGATTTTAGTGTCATTTCCTGGCTTGATCAAGTACACCCTATGATTTGTTATCTTAGGAAAATTTAAATTTTAGCACATTGTTGATGAAGCAGCTATCTTAGAATTGATATTCAAGATGGTAAAATGTGATAGAATGCGATTTTATCCTTTTGCGGACTGACCAATGTTTTTTACTTGAATGTGAAACTGTATTATGGATTCAAAATATTATGTTTCTTCTTTCAAGTACAACTTTTTTTTTTTTTTTTTTTTTACTTTTTTCAAATTCTCCGGAGTATTGCTTCATCATCCTCGTGGTGTCCATATTCGGATTTTTTGTCATTGCAGAATCAGTTATAACTTATAAGTGCTATGTCTACTAGTTATTATACTGGTTAAATAAGTGCTTTTACCCCATATTTTGGATTTATTAGTAAACAGGAGATTTCGGCCATACTGTTTCTCTGATCTCAATTTTTTGTTGGATTTTTTTTATGTCTAAAACATTGTACTTAAGTTGTAAACAAGCCATGTATGGTGGTCTGGTGGACCACGATACATCTCATATTTATCGTTCCTTACCTTCGTGAGAAATTACCTCTACACATTTCTGAATCATAGTTAATTAATCTGGTGCAGTGAAAGCAGATTGTATATCAGATTTTTATTTCATGGACTTGGTTTCACAAACGTAAATTGTTTAGCTTATAAACTCGAAGATTTGGTTGATCTTGGTTTTGTTCAGTTGAATGTTATCACAACATGTGCCAACAGTAATAAAATGGTATCTGATATAGTCGTAAATCATTGAAATTTCTTGCATTGTACGAGTAAATTAGCAATGCACTTTTGTATAATGCACTTTTGTGTAATTGATTATAACCAAATCAATCCATGCGGTTTCTGAAATTTCTGTTGTGAGGGTATGGCCGAATCAAATTAAGTGATTATAATTTTTGGTACGTAAACTCCATAGATTATTGAGCAAGTGAGACATCTGGAAGTGGCTTCCCATCCAGGAAGGAGCGGAAGAGCACGAGAGATCGAGCAGGTTGCGACAATGGTGCTTCATGGGAAGCTCCTCTTATAGTTGCATATGCAAGAATGTCACCATATACTTGCGTCCAACCACCAACCTGCCAAAATTAAGATGTTAGTTCTAATCCTTTTTATGCTCCTCTTGTTACTTCAAGTTTGGTTGAAGCAATTGTTTAGAGGAACCTAATAACAGTCAAAGAGGCATAATTAACGCTTGAATTTGGTCACTTCAATGGCATGTATATGTGTGCTATATATTATTATTTTTTTTAAAAAAATTTATTCGGTTTTGCAATTTGCGCGCATAACCAATGAATGTTCAATTTTCATACTAAAAAATTGAAACGGAAAGGATATTTTTCGAATTCATATAATGAAATGAGACGATGCTCAATATGTGAGGTCATATTTTGAGTGATTAGTCATTTGATTTAGCTTTAGAGAGTTTAGTTTCTACTCAAATCTATCGTACAGTGTATTAGTTTTTAGCTTGCATTGATTTAATTGGAGTCTATTTGATTTAGGATAGGGTAAGGTCATGTAATTGAAGTATAATTTGAGTTTGGATGGGGTAAATGGGTAAGGATTGATTTGTCATGTAAAATGTTCTTGGAATTCAAATTTTATTAGCGACTATAGTGGTTGCAGTTTGAATTTTATCACATTATTACTAGTTTAAATTGCACTATTAACATGATTATTAACTCTGATCATTATATGAAAATATGAGAAATCGACCTGTCTATTTGTTAGCCAAGTTCTATAAGGCACAGTAGTGTTTAGTCCCAACTCCTTTGCCAATCCGTTTATAAGCGTTCTAGATCCGATGAATGGTACTACCGAATCCTGATCACCACTGCACAAATAGAATTAAAATAATCAAAGGGGATGATCTTTTGAAGTTAAAGTCCATGAAGATTAACAATTATTGGTCACATGTAAAATAGCATAGAGCATTCATTCATAGACTTGTAAATTACTTGTATAAACTAGAAATATCTGATCTGTCATTATCATTAGTGGCTATTGTCCCTTGAAAGATTGCTACTTAGCTTGTATGATCATATCTAAGACAACCACTTAAGGCGTACTCCATAGCATAAACTCTTACAGTTACATGAACATGTGATTGACATGAGAACTTTAGTAAGGTAGGGTTAATATTGGGAGAAAATTGCCTTAGCATAACCTCGGTATAATTTACACTTTCAAAGAAAAAAAAAAAATCGAACTCGCATCAAGTGATTAGTAAAATTACCTGTAAATCAAAACTCGAACGCCACTTTTAGTGAAAGTGCCAAGTAGTGGAAGAGTAGGAACCTCCAAATCGTCCATGTGATAGTTGAGCACACTATACCACATTGTTAACAAAGTATCCAATGTTAAAATCTAATGGTGTTTAAACCAACTAACAATGCTAGCTAGAGAATAAGCTACGTGCAAGTGTGTATACAAGAATGCTATTGTAATGTAGAGTGTATCTAACTCATTTGTAGAGTAATATAAGCTCTATCTCTCTAAAAGTGGATGTAGCTTAGTTTGAATGAGTCGCTTAAATTCTTGTGTATGTTTTACTTTGTGTACTTAAAGCTCATTTTATAACTTGTATTGTCATTCAAACTAAGATCAAAGTCTAACTATACTTATGAATTCTGATAAGTTCGAACTAGATAAGTTGAATATTACGGAGTTCTACTTATTAGGGGTGAGCAAACCGGGTACCCGGTCAAAATTTTAGGATCCGGACCCGAAATTGGTTGGGACCGGGTCCTAAAATTTGGAACCGGAATTGGAACCGGTACAACCGGGTCCTAAAATTTAGGAATTGAAATTGGTTCCACCGGGTACCGGTTCCGATTCCGGGTACCCACTTATATATATAAGTGTTGAAATATAATACAAATCATAATTTTTTTTTGGTTTATTTTTACTTTTAGCGTTTAATACTTATATTTTTATATACATTAAGCTATTTTAATTATATTAAATATTATTATTATTTTTTATTTTACTAATTAGTTACATTCAACATATTTTTGTTTTTTAAATATATTTTGTACAATATATATTGGGTAACCGGTATAGTAGAGCGAGAGAAAAATCTAGAAGTTTTAGGATTTTGTTTGATAATGGGTTGAGAGTTTTATAAGCAATTGGGCTTAGAAATTAAAATGGGTTGTACATAACTCTTTAGTTTTTTAAAAATACAAACAATCCACATACTATATTATATACAACCAGGTACCCAGTGGATACCGAGTCCAAAATTTTAGGATTTGGAACCGGAACCGGTTACAACCGGATCCAAAATTTTGGACCCGATCTCGGAACCGGTGAGACCAGTTCTGGGTCCGGTACCGCGTACCCTGGATCTTTGCTCACCCCTACTACTTATGCGGTTATGCCTATGCTTAACTCTTGTGTCAATATTATGTATTACTGTGTCATTATATTGAATTATTGATATGCCATACAAGTATTGTAGTTCTAACAGAAAAAGTAGAATATTGTGCAAAAAAGTGGTGTCGTACTTAAGATATGATGTTCACGGGTTAAATAAAACAAGGACCAACTCTTGCTGACTCCTAACCCCCATGCTGCCGCTGCTAGTCTGATATTATTGTTTGGTTTTATTCTAAAAAGCATGTTTTTACAAAACTTTTATAACTTGGACCACAAAAACATGATATTAAATAATTATTCCATGTTTTACTTTCTGTGTGAATGAAAACAAAACTACAACTTTTAATTTAAGATGTCAAACAAACATATATAAACCCCATAAACAACATTATCTTAGACAAAAATATTTTTCTACAGGCAATGAAATAGTAAGAAATGATAAGAGTATAATATTTAATTCTAAAAAACTAACAATCAATTTAATAATTTTGATATTTAATTGATCTTTGACGTAGTACCTACAACCAACGTGACATAAAGGTCAAAATAAGGAACTCATGAATCATCGCCAGCTTAAATTCTGCTTATAAATTATCAAAGGTTTATTGCCAAAAACTATTTTCTATGCAATGAAGTGGAATATTTCTAATTCTACATATTTTCTATGCATTTAAATGGAATATCTCTAATTCTACATATTATCATCTCACATGGGACTTTACTAATATATCCTATAATCTTAAGTAGCTCGAATTTCTACAAACAAATTCCAATCTAGCCAATACAACTTGATCTTATCAATGTGCCATGTTTATACAAGTTTCCAAATTAGTATTGTATGTTATAACAGAATCTTTGGTGCAAAAACAGAATATTTAAGAAGAATCTTACTTGCTACAAGTAGCCCATTGAGTTACCCCAATAAGGTGTGCATGCATAGCCTTTTGTACATCTTTCCTATTCAGGTATTGGGTTGTTTCATCATCTAGACAAACATCAATTTTCTCTTCATCCTGCCATTAATTATCATTATGTCAAGTATCTCTGTTGAATACACACAACACTCAGACATTGATATGAAACTTAGCCAGTTCATTTTAAGACAATGTCATGCAATATTTTCATTAATGATCAACGTGTAACTTTGTATGACAATTTTAGCCGAGTTAAAGTAACATGCATAAGAGAGAACAAACAATGACAAGAACCAAAAACGAATAATCTGAATGAAAGCAACATGACTGCAAATACTTTGTACTTCGTATATATTACCATCATTTGGTTGAGGACATGAGCTTGTTGAGAAACTGAATGCAAACATACGTCCAGAGTGACATCGTACGAGTCAATAAACTTGCCAATCTCGCTATTAATTTGAGAAATAACCAATTTGCAAGGTGCGGAGAAAAATCCTTTCTGTGATTGTCTCCTAATTTGTGAATAATTGCATATTTTTTCAGAAATCTCATATGTTGCATCAGATATTAGTCCATGAGACCAAAGATATTCTGCCCTTGAATTGAAGTCATTGTTAAACTCTAGCAGTGGATTTCCTATCTGCATTTTAGGAGCATAATCATTGTATAAATTCACTCAAATAAAGTTAATTAATTGCATAATTAATTTGTTAATCATTGATTTTTACTTACAGCAACTCCCTTCAAATTTGACTTGAGGCTTGATTTTAGCACGAGGTTAGCAAGTTGTGGAACATAATGTCCTGTTTTTGAACAGGGGAAACAAACTTTCAACATATTAATTACGAGAAAGTGTCCTCGAATAATTGTCCTACATACTATTTTGGCCGTAATAAAAAATAAAATAAAATTATAGAATAAGAATATGACCTCCATAGCTCTCTCCAGTGAGGAACAAATCTCTATTTTTGTATTCTGGGTATTTTGCTAGAAATTTCTGAAGAAATACTAGATTATCTCTTGCTGAACATATAGTTTTACCATTCATTTTCATCAGTAAATAATAATTAATAGATAAAGTAGTCAAAACATATAATAAAATAAAATTAGTAAATAAAATAAAAGACCTGTCATTTCATCATTAACTCCATTATAAAATGATTTATTTACAGAATAAGAAAACCCAACTCCTGCTGGTGATTCAAGATACAACATATTTGCTTCTGCAATCAAATCAATAACAATGATATTAACCAACTAATTAATTTAATTAATTACCAATTACATTTTTTGCATTAGCTAACTTTTTCAAAAAATAAAAATATAAAGACTTCACCTTTATTCCAGCTGAACTCATTCTTAATCAATCCATTTCCACTTGGGCTAAAGGGTCCATGTTCACTGAATGCTCCTGCTCCAATAGATGAACAACCTGGCCCTGTAAACATTTGAAAATTTTAAATTAAAATAAATTATAATTTTTTTTATAAAAAATATAAAAAATAATAATGGTTGAAAAAAAAATACCTCCATTGAGCCAAAGAACAAGGGGTTTGGAGGAAGGGTTAGTTTCAGCTTGAACAAAATAGTAAAAAAGATTTCTTTTTTTGACTTCGTCTACGGTAATATAACCCGAAAATTGCTGGAAATTAACAGGGGGTTGCCCTGGTAAGCTTGTGATTTTATCATCTTCAGATGATAATGGAGTTACTTGTAATGCAAAGTTGCATAATAAAAGGGTTGCAAAGGTTATGACTTTTGTGAAAGACAACATTTTGCTACACTTGTGAAAAAAACTAAGAAAAAAAAAGTATTTATTATGTTTTGTAGTAGAATATTGTGATAAGGTAATACTACTAGTCAAATGAAATTTTGGTTGATTTTTATAGTGTGGTTCCTAGTGTTCTAGTGTATGAACTTAATACGTAACTACATGTCATTTGAGGGCCATGAAGAACTTTCCAAACGTAAAAATAATTAAGTTTATTGAAACATTGAAAGCCTCGTATAAGTGTAACCTAGCTAGTGTTTGTTTAGGACAAACTTTGTTTTCAAATTGCATCATTTATTGGACTATTAATTGAAAGAGACTAAGTACCGTTTATCTTTGTTTAATCTAAATATCGTTTCTACCAAAAAAATTGAAAAAGACTAGAGAGTCAACTAATAAGTCTTTTCACAAACGTGTAAGGGATTGAGAAAATTCAGAGCAGTTTTAAAGTTAAACCCTAATTGTGTTGATAAACCGATACAAGTTTATTGAATAATAACTTTTAAAGTGTTCTGCTTTAGAGTTTTTTGCACTTCCAAGATGTATACTATATAATCAATTTTTCTCATAAAGATTGTCATGATATTATTGACAAGCAAATTTGCTCACTTTGTGACTTGAATAATGTGACTATGTGAGTACTAGCTTGGTAGTAGTACTCACAACTGTAAATTATTGCGATTTTGAATAATTGGAGTCCCAAGTAATGTACTACCTTCATTCTTTTATGTTCTACTCACTTACTATAAGTACACAATTTTTAAATTGTTGAAGAATGTGAGTGGGTGTAAGATAAAATAAAAGAGATAATGTAAAAAGATGGGTTTGTGTATGAATAAAGTAAAAAAGAGATCGAGAGTATGGATAGGTATAAACGTTCTTCATTTGTATTAGGATAATCAACATGATCCTATTTTGTTTTCATAAATTGAAAATTAATGAAAGTTATTAACAATTAAATCTGTGAATTAATCATCATGTATGCATAGATGAAAAAGTTGTAACTAAAAAAGCGGAAGAATGTACATTTTTGTACAATGACATGCACTATGTATTTAAAAGTAGTGTTTTGATCACTTAATTTATAAGTGCACATAACGCGTGCTTAATTGATGGTCATGTTGCCCCACAAGGCCACACTTGAACCAGACACTAGTTTGATTATTTAAAAGTTTAATGGGTTTGCTTGAAATCACAACAATTTCATGTACTAAGTGAGTTCGTGAATAAAACATGCCAATTTTAATTTAATGTTTGAGAAATTCTCTTTGGTATTCACGTGTTTTTTTAATTTTCTTTATGATGAACAGTAAAAATTTCAATTATCTTGGATAATCATGAATTATTATTATAATATATAAACCATAACATTAATGATATATTTTGGTTAAAATATTTAAATAGGATTAGGTTTATTTTTTTTAATAATTAAATTATTTTAAAAATATTTTTTTTAAAAAAACCACCACTCAAATTCTACCGGCCCAGCCACGCCCTGGCCACCACGCAAGCCCAGACCACCCTCGGCGCCGGCGCGCCAAGATTCCTCCTCTCCGGTGGCGGTGCTGCGCTGAACTCCCCTCTCTTGTCGTGTCTCCCTTTCCTTTCCTTCCCAACGAAACCCCTAAAACCTTCTGATAGAATATAAGATATTCTAGGATATTCTATAAATGATATATTTTGTGTAAATATGTTAATATTATGTTTCTCTTAGAATTAGGGTTGTACACCTATATATATCAATCTAATGAGAACACTCCAATCAAGGGAGATTTACACACTTTTACATGGTATGACAGCCAATAGGATATTTTATTTTTCTTTCTCAAAATTCCTAACTCTAGTTCCTAGGACCTTCACCGTAGCCTCCTTCTTTGCCTCACGAATCCACCATGACTCACAGTGATGGTGAAACTCCACCTCCTCCTCCCCCATCTATAACCTTTCACCCGGCCTTTGCTGTTTCGAACATCAAGAATCTCATGCCTATTACTCTTGATCAAGAAGAAAGCCAATACGCTACATGGGTGGAACTTTTCCAAATCCATGCTTGTGCCTTCAACGTCTTGGACCATATAGACAACACTGTTTCTCGCGCCTTCTGACCTCGATGACTCTACCCGAAAACGTTTGGATGTCATTGTTAAACAATGGATATATGGAACCATCTCTAAGGACCTTGTTCACACAATCATGAAGCCCGGTGCAACCGCTCTTGAACTTTGGAAACGTTTGGAGGAGCTTTTCTATGATGATAAGCACACTTGTGAAATCTATTTGGAGGAACATATTAACACCACTCATCTCGAGAATTTTGCGAACATGTCCGAGTACACTAGGCAAATTAAACTTCTTGCGGATCAACTTGGTAATGTCGACAATCCAGTTTCGAAGAGCAAGATGTTCTTACAATTGATCACTGGTTTGCCTAAGGGAGAGTATGACACCGTGGCTGCTATATATGATTCAACAGTCCTATCCCCTTCCGAGTGTCAATTCCAATCGGGTGTTAATTCCAATGAACTGTTGAATCTTGATGGAAGGGATAAGCTTGCTCAATCTTGATGAGGGTTCTGATGAATTCATTAGATTTAAAGATGAGAATTCCTTATTAAAGATCCATAGTTGTTACATCAAGCATAATCATTTTGATGGAGTTGTTGTTGAGTTAATAGGTCAAAAGTAGTGCAGTGACTTGTTTTCTTAGAAAGGTCTATATGCCTTGAGTCCTTGGTTCAATTAGATGTTTTCTCTGGCAATTCCCAAGTAGAACCTATGTTGCTGATTGACATCCCAGCACATAATCTCTGACAATCCCAATCTAATCTCATTTTGGCATGGCCTCTATGCTTGGCGACACAATTGATTTGCTACAGATAGAAGACATTGCTCCCTATTTCGCTCAAACCATATTTTATAATTGTGTGAGATAAATCTATTAAGCTGTCTTAGCAGCTGCAGTTCAGATGGTTTGAGATGTTAGAAATGATAATATTTTCAACAGTAGAACTGTTTTGTTGTCAAATCTTTGATTTTAGTTTCTTGTAAATATTTGGGTTTTTGAATTTTTTGTTTTTATTATAAGTTTCCAACTTTTGGTTGGGAGAAATCGAGGTGATTAAGAAAGTTTATACTTATATGGGTAGCAGAAAAGTGAACTTTTGAGCAAAAATTGGTGCAAGCTTAACATCACGGATTCCTAGCTTTGTTCCTACCATCCCTATCTCTAATTCCATGTATGCTTATTCACCAATTTTGTCATTTTTCCAGTTTTATTTTTATGCACCCCACTTTTCTCAGGCCACCAATACATTGTGTCTTTTGGACGGCTTGGTAGTAAAGGTATTGACAAAATTAGCCCTCGATCAGTAGCTGCAAAAATTTTCTTGAATAAACTTTTTTGAATAAAGATTGATTCATAAATAAAAAGTCATACGACATCTACAAAGAGATTTAAATTTAATAAAGACATGACAATTGAATCAAATAAAAGCTTTCTTTCAGCAGAGCTACGATCGTTATTGCAAATCGTACATTCTTCATACCCTCTTTTATATCGATGTGATTTACAACTTTTTTCGACGAGGGAGTCTATCGATCGGTTGTACTCGTGAAGAAAATTTTCGTCTAATTCATCTGATTGTAATCAAAGGATTAACCTCTTTTTCAATCCCGCACAAATCTTTACTCATGAAACAACTTGTACCATACTAAACTCAAAAAACAAAAATAAAAACAAAACTAGAACAAAGCCCGCCATAGGAGCACTTTCTACACTCAAACCCACTATAGGGGTACTTACTACCTTCAAAGAGTGTATTTATTGAACTCAACAACAAAAACATAAAGAAACTAAAGGGAAAGGTCGGAAATTGCCAAATTTACGGAGAAATTTGACCATTTCCAGCCTATGAAACACTTTTTTCTTTAAAAGCCCTAAAGAGAAAAAATAGAGAGAAGACGGCTAGATTATCTTGAATAACCTCATTGTCCCATTTATTATAATGTGGGTCAATGAGATCAATAACACGCAAATTCATATCACTTGACGCATTCGGGGTTGGCACCAAAGCAGACGTATTACCTGGGAGCCACGCATCACTCCAAACCATTATGTCACTTCCATTCCCCACTCTCCACTTCATCCCCTCAAGAAGAAGAGCCTTAGCTCCCCCACATACTTCTCCATGTGTAACTCGGATCATGCCCACAACCAGCTTGCAGTACATCCCCATTCTTGAAATATTTTTCTTTTAAAATCGAATGTAGAAGTGTACCTGGGTTATGGTGTAGCCGCCAACATTGTTTTGCCAATAGAGCTTGATTAAAACACCGTAAGTCTCTGAACCCATACCACCCCGACTTTTCGGAAGACAAAGAACTTCCCATCGAGCAAGAATAGAATGGATTTCATCAATAATGCCATCCGGGATCTTGAAATTACTCATCATATATGTCGGAATAGCCTTTGCAACCGCTTTTAAGTATCTTTTTACTCGGTTTTGATAACAATATTCTTTCCACCCTTGAAGCTTCTTCCATATCCGCTCCTTAAGAGCCGTAAAAATAGCTTTTTTCAATCTGCCAATAATAGTAGGAAGTCCAAGGTACTTCTCATGTCGATCCACCTCATGAACACCCAAAGTATCAATAATTTCCTGTCGTCTACTAGTGCTCACCTTTTTACTAAAAACAACCTCGGTTTACTAAGATTGACACTCTGATCAAATGCTCTTTCATACTTGCTGATGATATCAACTATCATTGAGCATTCTCAAACATTTGCTTTAGCAAAAAGGATACTATCGTCGGAAAAAAAAAACAGGTGAGATACTGTAGGCACCCCTGTGCAGATTCTAGCCCCATGAATAAGATTTTTTCTGGCGGCTTTAACCAACGAAGTAGAGAATGCATCATCACACAATAAGATTAAATACGGAGAACTTGGATCACCCTGTCACAGCCCGCTCGAAGGAGTAACCACACCACTAATTTGCCCGTTTATTAAAAGCAAATTTTACACTTTCCAGATAACTCATAACACGTCAAATCTAATTTTCCGAAAACCCCATCTTCTCCATCACCATGACTAGAAACACCCATTTCACACGATCATAGGCCTTACTCATGTCAAGCTTCAAAGCTATAGTACCCTCTTAGGCCTCCCCACCTCTCTTCATAGCATGAAAGATCTCGAAAGCCACAAGAGCATTATCATTAATTAATCGATGTGGAACAAAAGCACTCTAATTTTTTGAAATAACCTCACCGAAAAACACTTTCAACTTATTTGCCAAAGTTTTGACACAATCTTATAAATACATTGCAACAACTAATTGGCCTAAACTGTGTAATACTCTTCAGATCATCACACTTTGGGATCAAAACCACACAAGTATTATTCACCTTCGACAGATCAACCTCACCCCTCCACCATTTTTTCACAAAACTAATAATATCAGGACTAACAATATGCCAAATTTTTTTTTAAAAATAAAGCATGCATACCATCAGGTCCGGAGCTTTATTCGGGTGCATTTGGAACAGGGCATCCTTTATCTCATCTCCCGAGGATTCACGGTCAAGCAACGCATTCATCTCATTCGGCACAACCCTCTCCAATCCCGCGCAAGAGCATCTTGAAACCCTGTGGGGGAGCTTGTGGCAAAAAGGTTCCGAAATAGGCTTCAGTTAATCTTTCCATTCGATAATGTAATGTGTTCTCTCTAGTAGGCTAATAACTTGTGTCAATAAAGGAACCTTGCCCTTCGGTGTGTTCTAGCTAATTAAAGACCATAGATCTTGCCAATGAGGTATGATGTAGCATAGTTTATCAGGCATGAACATTATACTTGCCTACTTGGCAGTTGGCACTGACCTATACGATGAAGCATTCAGTAATATGTTTTGTTGTGTGTTGTGCTCCATTCTATCCTCATTAACTGAATTCAGTAATATGTTCAGTTGAATTTGTGCTTTTACCTCATATTTTAGATCTATTAGTAAACAGGAGATTTTTGGCCATACTGTTTATCTGAACTCAATTTTTTGTCGGATTATCGTATGTCGAAAACATTGTATGTACGTATAGTTGTATACAAGCCATGTAGACAGAGGTCAAGAACAAAATGGTATAATTTAAGGCATGTATGCCTGTATGGTGGAATACGATACATCTGATATTCGTTGTTCCTTAATTACCTTCGTAAAAAATACATGTCTAAACATTTCTGAATCATGCTTAATTAATTTTGTGTATATCAGATTTTTATTTCATGCACTCGGTTTCACCATCGTAAATTGTTTAGTTTATAAACTCGAAGATTTGGTTGATCTTGGTTTTGTTTGGTTGAATGTTATCACAACATATGCAAACAGCAAATAGTGGTATTTGATATACTCGTAAATCATTGAAATTTCTTGCATTGTACAAGTAAATTAGCAATGCACTCTGGTATTATTTAATGTAATTGATTATAATCATTTCTAAAATTTCTGTTGTGAGGGTATGGCCGAATCAAATTAAGTGATCATAATTTTTGGTACGTAAACTCCATAGATTATTGAGCAAGTGAGACATCTGGAAGTGGCTTCCCATCCAGGAAGGAGCGGAAGAGCACGAGAGATCGAGCAGGTTGCGAAAATGGTGCTTCATGGGAAGCTCCTCTTATAGTTGCATATGCAAGAATGTCACCATATACTTGCGTCCAACCACCAACCTGCCAAAATTAAGATGTTAGTTCCAATCCTTTTCTTGCTCCTCTTTTTACTTCAAGTTTGTGTGCACTGTATTTTTTATTTAATTTTTTTAACATTTTTTTTTTCGGTTTTGCAATTTGCACGCATTGCTAATGAATGTTTAGTTTTTATGTAAAATATTAGAATTGGAAAGGACATTTTTCGAATCCATATAATGAAATGGGATTATCATCAATAAGTGTGAGGTCATATTTTGAGAGAGTAGACATTCGTTTTAGCTTTAGATTGCTTAGTTACTACTCAAATATATCATATACTCCCTCCGTTTTTAAATACTTGCTCGTTGCTCCATTTTTCCATGCGCGGAGTTTTAGGAGAAATTGGAGAAAGTAATAAAATATGGAGGTAGTGGGGTTGTTGAAAGAATAAAAAATTGTAAAAAGCAAAAAATAGCTGAGAGAATTGTAGGAGAGAGAATATGGAATTAATAAAATATGATTTTTGTTAGGTCCACTAGTTTAGAGAAATGAATTAGATATTGTAAAAACTTTCTAAACAAGGACATGGAGCAAGTATTTAAAAACGGCCAAAATTAAAAAGTGAAACAAGTATTTAAAAACGGAGGGGTAACTCATTAGGAAAAAAAAAGACAAAAACTACTAAAGTCATACAAATTGAATATTCTCATGCGAAGGACAAATTAGTAGTTTTTAATTTAATTGGAGTCTACTTGGTTTAGATAGGGTAAGGTCATGTAATTTACGTAAAACTTGTGTTTAGATGGGGAAAATGGTAAGGATTGATTTGTCATGTAAAATGTTCTACTTCGACTTCAAATTTTATTAGCGACTAGCCGACTATGGTGGTTGTAGTTTGAATTTTATCACATTATTAGTTTAAATTGCACTATTAACGTGATTATTAATTCTGCAAAATACATAATCATGATAACAAAAGAAAAAAGAAATCGACCTGTCTATTTGTTAGCCAAGTTCGATAAGGCACAGTAGTGTTTAGTCCCAACTCCTTTGCCAATCCGTTTACAAGCGTTCTAGTTCCAATGAACGGTATTATTGAATCTTGGTCACCACTGCACAAATAGAATTAAAATAAACATGTATTAATAACAGTTGGAAATCATTGTCCAAGATTGATAGATTGTTACTTAGCTAGTATGATCATATCTAAGACAACACACTTATAAGACGTACTCTGTAGCATATACTCTTACAATAACATGAACATGTGATTGACGTGAGAACTTTAGATAACGTAGGGGTTAGTATTGAGAGAAAATTGCCCTCATAACCTTAGTACATATAATTTACCCTTTCAAAGAAAAAAATACGTATCAAATACGCAGCGTTAGTGATTAGTAAAATTACCTGTAAACCAGAACTCTCACGCCGCTTTTAGTGAAAGTGCCAAGTAGTGGAAGAGTAGGAATCTCCAAATCGTCCATGTGATAGTTTAGCACACTATACCATTGTTAACAAAGCATCTCAATGTTAAAATATAATGGTGGAAAATTAACCAACTAACAATACTAGAGTATAAGCTACATGAAAGTATATCTACTAGTATATCCAAGAATTAGTATTATAGAGTAATATAAGCTCTATCTCCCTAAAAGTGGATGTAGCTTACTATGAATGAATCGCTATAAATTCTTGGGCGTGTTTTATATTGTGCACTTAAATGCTTTCTCATCTTACAGCTTGTATTGCCATTCAAATAAAGATCCAAGCCCCAAAGTCCTATACTTATAAATTTAGTTAAGTTCGAACAAGATAAGTTGAATATTACTACTTATGCTTAATTCTTTTGTCATCAATATATTATAGTCGTCATATTGATATGGCATACAAGTATGAACTATGAAGTAAAGTATTGTAGATCTAACAGAAAAAGTAGAATAGTGTGCAAAATAATGGTGTCATATATACTTCATTTGTTTTTTTTTTTACTTGACCTGTTTCTTTTATCACGTTTGCTAATGCAAAACTTTAACGATCAATAACTTTAATTCTCCATAAGTAAAAATTATAAAAGTTATATATTATAATAGTACTTATTGAGACAAATTCAAAAAGATCTCACATGACTATGTTTTTCTTTACTTATTATCATAAAAGATAGTCAAAGGAGGAGTGGTAAATAGTGTAAAAGTCAAAGCGGTTCAAATAAAAAAAACGGAGAAAGTAGTATTTTGGAGTTCCGGCTCACGGGTTACAAAGAACAAGGATCAACTCGATCATGCTGATTTTAACCCTCATGCTGCCATTGCTAGGATATAAGTTTTTGGATTTTTCTAATAAAGCATATTTTTACAAAATTTGTTAAATAATTTGGACCAAAAAAAGATTTTAAATAAACACTTATTCAATTCGATGGTTTTACTTTTCTGTGTGAATGAAAATAAAATTACTTTTAATTTAAACCCCATAAACAATACTCCGTATTATCTTAGAAAAAAAATTAATTTTTTACGGGTAATAAAATAGTAATACTAGTAAATGATAGAGTGTAAAATCTAACAATTACTTTAAACTTTTAATTTAATTGATTTTTGGCGTGCTATCTACAATCAAGGTGATGTAAAGGTCATGACAAGAAAGTCATGAGTTATCGCCAGCCTAATCTCTGATTATATATTATTGAAGTTTTATGGCCAAAACTATTTTGTATGCCTGTAAATGGAATGTATCGAATTCTACATATTGTCATCTCACATGGGACTTTACCAATGTATCTTATAATCTAAAGTAGCTCAAATTTCAACAAACAAATACCAATCAAACCAATGCAATTTGAACTTATCAATGTGACATGCTTATACATGTTTCCAAATTAGTATTGTATTTCGTCTGTTATAACAGGATCTTTGGTGCAAAAATAGAATATTTAAGAAGAATCTTACTTGCTACAAGTAGCCCATTGAGTTACCCCAATAAGGTGTGCATGCATAGCCTTTTGTACATCTTTCCTATTCAAGTATTGGGTTGTTTCATCATCTAGACAAACATCAATTTTCTCTTCATCCTGCCATTAAATTATCAATACGTCAAGTATCTCTGTTGAATACACACAACACTCAGACATTAATATGACACTTAGCCAGTTCATTTTAAGACAATATCATGCAATATTTTCATTTGATCAACGTGTAACTTTGTATGACAATTCTAGCCGAGTTAAAGTAACATGCAAAAGAGAGAACAAACAATGACAAGAACCAATAACGAATAATCTGAATGAAAGCAGTGTGACTGCAAATACTTTGTACTTCGTATTACCATCATTTGGTTGAGGACATGAGCTTGTTGAGAAACCGAATGTAAACACACGTCGAGAGTGACATCGTACGAGTCAATAAACTTGCCAATCTCACTATTAATTTGAGAATTAACTAATTTGCAAGGTGCTGAAAGGAATTTCTGTTCTTGTCTCCTAATTTGTGAATAATTGCAGATTTTTTCAGAAAGATCATAAGTTGCATCAGATATTAGTCCATGAGACCAAAGATATTCACCGATTGAATTGAAGTCATTGTTGAACTCTAGCAATGGATTTCCTATCTGCATTTTAGGTGCATAATCATTGTATAAAATCACTAAAAAAGTAATTGCATAATTATTTTGTTTATCATTGAGTTTTACTTACAGCAACTCCCCTCAAATTTGACTTGAGGCTTGATTTTAGCACGAGGTTAGCAAGTTGTGGAACATAATGTCCTGTTTTCAAACAGGGGAAACAAACTTTCAACATATTAATTACGAGTAAAATGTCGTCGAATAATTGTCTTGTATACTATTTTGCTCGTAGAATAAGAATATGACCTCCATAGCTCTCTCCAGTGAGGAATAAATCTCTATTCTTGTATTCTGGGTATTTTGCTAGGAATTTTTGAAGAAATACCAGATTATCTCTTGCTGAACAAATGGTTTATTTTATTATCATTCATTTTCATCAGTAAATAAAAATTAATAGATAAAATATACAAAATATATAATGAAATGAAATCACTAAAATAAAAGACCTGTCATTTCATCATTAACTCCATCATAAAATGTTTTATTAGCAGAATAAGAAAACCCAACTCCTGCTGGTGATTCAAGATACAACATGTTTGCTTCTGCAATCAATAATAATGATATTAACCAACTAATTCATCAATAACATAATACTAAAACAGACACCAAGAATGACTCGTGTCACTTCCTGGTGTTGTATTTTCCCTCCAAAACTCCCCTTTCTCCTTTTAGGATTTTTTTTTTTATTTTTGAAATATTTGTATAATACAACTAAAATAATATTATTCTAAATCTTATATATTATCTTTACATAAAATGTATTTCTTTTTATTTCGTATTTTTATTTCTTTCATACACATTTACCTAAAATATTATTCCTACTCTTTTTTAATTATAGAAAAAGTGATCCACTGGTTGAAATACAATATACTATTATTACCGCCTGGACATGTTTTAGACGGAGTATTATTAGATTAGTACCCGTGCGATGCACGGATTTAACCAAAAAATATTTCGTAAAGTTTTATATTATTAAAATTAAATTAGTTTTTTAATAAATAAGCAACTTACTACAATAATAATATTTTATACTCTTTAATTCAATGGTAGTTAATTTACCAAATATAAGGAAGTGTAGCGCTTAAATAAAAATGAAAACAAAAAATGGTGTAACAATTTAAAAAAGTGGAGTGAGTGATAACAATTATACTTTGTATGTGTAATGTTATTTTGTAAGATTAAGTTAAGATATTTCTAATGTGAAGTATAAATTGAATTGAAATTTTTTTGTAAAATTAAGTTATGATATTTCTAATATGAAGTATAAATTAAATTTTGTAAGATTAAGTTAACAATTATACTTTGTATGTGATATATTATTTGTAATTTGTATATTTGCATATATCTTGTGCTAATAGTTTTACTGTAGATTTTATTCTGTTGTTTGAGTAATATTTTCATGTTTATTAAAAAGCATTTATTAATAAGTCAATAGTCATATAGTCACTAGATTGTATAGTTTTATTAGGAAATAATATGCATCATTAATGTAATTTATTGTATACTACTTTTAAATATTTTCAACACAACTAATCAACAATAATTTTTTTTTTTCTCAATCGTAGTTTTAATAATTTTGTCTTATTATTTTATTTTTCTATATGCGTTGCATTTGTTTATTCCACATGAGTTGTCTCATTTTTATATTATATCGCAATTAATTATGGGAAAAAGGTTATTACAACCGTACATCGCACGGGCACTTAATCTAGTTATTTTACTAATTACAATTTTCGCATTAGCTATTTTTTTCAAAAAATATAATTAAAAAGACTTTACCTTTATTCCAGCTAAATTCATTCTTAATCAATCCATTTCCACTTGGTCTAAAGGGTCCATGTTCACTGAATGCTCCTGCTCCAATAGATGAACAACCTGGCCCTGTAAACAAATACAAATTTTAAATTAAAGGGATTTTAATTTTAATTTTTATTAAAAAAAAATTAAAAAAAAGGTTTGAAAAAAAAAAAAAAAAAAACCTCCATTGAGCCAAAGAACAAGGGGTTTGGAAGAAGGGTTAGTTTCAGCTTGAACTAAATAGTAAAAAAGATTTCTTTTTTGGACTTCGTCGACAGTAATATAACCCGAAAATTGCTGGAAATTAACAGGGGGTTGCCCTGGTAAGCTTGTGATTTTATCATCTTCAGATGATAATGGAGTTACTTGTAATGCAAAGTTGCATAATAAAAGGGTTGCAAAGGTTATGACTTTTGTGAAAGACAACATTTTGCTGCACTTATGAAAGAAACTAAGGAAGAAAAACAAGTATTTATTATGTTTTGTAGTAGAATATTATGGTAAGGTAACACTACTAGTCAAATGAAATTTTGAATGATTTTTATAGTGTGGTTCCTAGTATTTTAGTGTATAAACTCTATACGTAACTACATGTCATTTGAGGGCCATGAAGAACTTTCCAAACGTAATGACAATAATTAAGTTGATTGAAACATTGAAAACTTCATATAAGGGTAAACTAGTGTTAGTTTAGGACAAACTTTGTTTTCAAATTGCATCAATTATTGGACTATTAATTGGAAAAGACTAGGTAGTCAACTTGATAACACTAGTACAAGTTTGTTGAATAATAACTTTTGAAGTGTTATGCTTTAGGATTTTTTTTTTAGCTTCCAAGATGTATACTATGTAATCAATTTTTCTCTTAAAAGAATATCATGAAGTGATCCATTATCGGCAAGCAAATTTGTTCACTTTGTGACTAGAATAATGTGAGTACTGGTAGTAGTGTAATACGGAGTATTGCCTTTTTGAATAATTGGAGTCCCAAGTAGTTATGTTATACTTAATTATTATAAATGCGCAATTTAAGAAATTGTTAAAGAATGTGAGTGGGTGTAAGATAAAGTAAGTGATAGAATGTAAATAAAGTAAGATTGTGTAAGAAAAGGTGAATAAAGTAAGAGAGAGAGAATAAAAAAGTGTAATAATTGTAGGTTTGAGGGGTAAGATGGTAAAGGGAATGTGCCATAAATAGAATAAAACAAAGTAGTTAGTAAGTAGAACTTCAAATAAAGAACTCAAATGAAAAGTGGGTAGAACAAACAAAAAAAAAAAAAAAAACCCGCAGGGAGTATGTTATTATTTTCAGTTTAAGTGTTCTTCATTTGTATTAACAAGATCCTATTTTGTTTTCATTTATTGAAATTAAAGATAATAACAATTAAATATGTGAATCATTGTGTATGCATAGATGAAAAGGTTGTAACTAAATAGACATAAGAATGTATTTTCTTAGATAATGACAGGCACTATGTATCTAAAAGTAGTGTTTTGATCACTTAATTTATAAGTGCATATACCGCGTGCTTAATTTGATGGTTATATTGCCCCACAAGGCCACAATTGATGTAAACACTACTACTTCCTCCGTCTCATAATATAGTTTTTGTTTATGTTTTTTCACGGTATCTAAAAATTAGGAGGTAAAAGTGGATGAATTACATTAATAAAAGTGTAAAGTACAATTATAAACAAAAGTTAGAGAGAGAAAGTGGAAAAAAATACAAGGCATGTGCAAAATTCAACAGTAATTTAGGAAGTACATACAATGAATAAATATAAAAAAGTGAGGGTAGAATGGTCTTTACATACTATCCAAAAATAGAAACAAGAACAACATTTTGGATCTCCAAAATAGAAAAATAGGAACTATATTATGGGATGGAGGGAGTACTAGTTTTGATTTAAATGTTTAATGGTTTTGTTTGAAATCACAAAAGTTTCATGTAAGTGAGTTCGTGTATAAAACATGCATGCCAATTTTGGTTTAATTTTTTTTAATGGTTTTGTACAAACTCTCTGAGGAAAAAAAACAAAACAAAAATATAGTAAAATAAACAATCTTTAATTATACAACTGGTTGTACCTAGCTTGCAAGGTACAGCTACGAGTATTCTTGTAAAATGTGTTCATTTGCACAATCTACTTAATTGTGTAATTTGCTCATTCAATCATTTGGTAGAAGTTTTGAGATTGAATTACAACGTTACAAGTCTTATGTGAATTAGTGTTTTTACCCCATATTTTGTTGTGCTTGTATATCGGAGCTAGCTAGAGCTCAATTAAAAATCATGATACACGCACATATATATATATCTGAATTTTATTATTAAATCATTGTATGTATTTGATCATAATAACCAAATCAATCCATACGTACAGTTTCTGAAATTTCTGCTATGAGTGTGGCTGAATCAAATTCAGTGAATCAATTTATACGTACAGTTTCTGAAATTTCTGCTATGAGTGTGGCTGAATCAAATTCAGTGAGTTTAACTTTCGGTACGTATAGACTCCATAGATTATTTGAGCCAGTGAAACATCTGGAAGTGGCTTCCCATCCAGGAAGGAGCGGAAGAGCACGAGAGATCGAGCGGGTTGCGAAAGTGGTACATGATGGGCAGCTCCTCTTACGGTTGCATATGCAAGAATGTCACCATATACTTGCGTCCAGCCACCAACCTGCATGCCAAGAATAAGATGTTAGCAAACTATCCTTTTCTTGTTCCTCTTTTTACTTGAAGTTTAATTTGTTGAAGGCTTGAAGCAAATGTTTAGAGGAGCCTAATAACAGTCTAATAATAGGCAAGATTAACGCTTTGAAACATGGTCATCATTTAAGATGGCATGAAATTGCATGTTCTATATATATAGAGTATATTTTTTTTTAATTTTTGAAAGGCCGTTTTTTTTTTCTTTTTTTTTTTTACGGGAAGAAATAATATCATTGATGAATAGACATATGGCATCTACAATAATAATAAAGATTTGTAAACCACAAATTTTGATAAATTAACATAACTTTCATGTATAGCATGTTCAATTTTCATATATATGAAGAAAAACAGAGAGAATTGGAAAGGAAGAAAGTATATATAAAAGTGACATATAAGTCATTTGATTTAGCTTATACATGTTTGTCTCTATTTAAAGTTGTATCAATTAGGTTGTGCCGATTTGGTAGGATTCTTTTTGGTTTAGGGCAAGGTAAAATTATGTTAATTTTGAGAGGTGAAAGTTCATGATATTTGATTTGATTTGTCATGTAGAGTGTCTTGGACCTTAAATATTGTTAGCGGCTATCGTCTATTACTCTCATGGATCCAATTTTCTTATCACATTACTAGTTTAAATTGCAATATCTACTTGACAATTAATCTATAAAGTGCACAAGCAACAAATGAAAACATGAGAAATCGACCTATTTATCTGTTAACTAAGTTCTGTAAGGCACAGTATTGTTTAGTCTCATCTCCTTTGCCAATCCATTTATCAGTGTTCTAGTTCCTGTGAATGGAATTACTGCATCTTGGTCACCACTGCAAAAACAAAATTAGAATGTTTGAGTCCATAAATATCCATAATTATTGGTTACATACAAAAGAGTATGAGCATTTCCAGACTTATAATGTAAATTATGACTCTGTATAATTTTATACTTCCTCTGTTCTAGTAATATTGCAACAACTGAACTTTTGCACTATTCATCAGGCTTGTTTGACTACAAATTATGATTTATACGTAAAGTAAAATATAGTCATGTGGGGTCTTGTTAGATTTGTCTCGTAAAATACTTTTACAATATCAACTTTTTATAATTTTTACTCTTATATAATTATAAATATTTAACATATAAAATGTGTTTTGAAATACGTAATTTCATCCTTGTTGCAATATTTGTGGAACAGAGGAAGTATAAACTAAGAATATACGAAGTATATATAATTTTTTTTGGGTAAGGAAAAAGGATTATTAGGACCCCTCCTCAATGTATATTGTATATGTAATTAAAGGACAAGTTTATTGTCCTTATTCAATTTATGAGGGCCGATACACTACAACAAAATAAGGTATCTGTAACAATTGAGAATAACTGTCCAATATAGGAAGATTGCTACCTACTTACCTTTTTTGATCTTATGATTCTTGTCTAAGAAAACACGCTAAGACGTATGAGTAGCATTGAATCTTACAATTATATATATGGACATGTAACTAATGTGAGAACTTTAGATAAGGTAGAATTATATATTGAGAGATAAAAAATTGTCCTAATATCAATATACTTTACCTTTTAAAAAAAATACAGACTTAAAGTGCAAATTAAGGTGCAGTGATAAGTGCAAAACATATGAAATAAAATTACCTGTAAACAAAAACTCGAACGTCATTTTTAGTGAGAATGCCAAGTAGGGGAAGAGTAGGAACCTCCAAATCGTCCATGTGATAGTTAAGCACACTATACCATATCATTGTTAACAAAGCTTCTCAATGTTAGAATATAATGATGGAAAATTAAGCAACTAACAATACTAGAGAATAAGCTAACCAATATATCCTACATCTAAATTAAAGTAGCTCGAATTTCAACAAACAAATTCCAATCTAACCAATGCAACTTGAACTTATCAACGTGCCATGCGATTACATGTTTCCAAATTAGTATTGTACTCCGTACTTCGAAAGTTAGAATATATCTTAAAGAAAAATCTTACTTGCTACAAGCTGTCCATTGAGTAACACCAATAAGGTGTGCATGCATAGCCTTTTGCAAATCTTTCCTGTTCATGTATTGGGTAGTTTCATCTTTTAGACAAACATCAATGTTCTCTTCATCCTGCCATTAAATTAATCAATAGGTCAAGTACTCTATTGAATACACGACACTCGGATATTGATATGACACTTAAATTAAATGATTCATGATAAGATAATATCATGTAATATGTTCATAAATGATCAACGTGTAATAATGTAATACAATATCATGCAATATTTTCATAAATGATCAACATGTAATTATGTATGACAATTCTAGCCGAGTTAAGGTAACATGTGTACGAGAGAACAACATATGACAACTTGAACCATTTATAAGAAAGCAATGTGACTGCAAGTACTTTGTGTTACCATCATTTGGTTGAGGACATGAGCTTGTTGAGAAACCGAATGTAAACAAACGTCGAGAGTGACATCGTGCTAGTTAATAAACCGGCCAATCTCACTACGAATTTGAGAAATAACTTATTTACAAGGTGCGGAGAGAAATCCTTTCTGTGATTGTCTCCTAATTTGTGAATAATTGCATACTTTTTCAGAAACCTCATATGTTGCATCAGATATTAGTCCATGAGACCAAAGATATTCTGCCCTTGAATAGAAGTCATTGTTAAACTCTAGCAGTGGATTTCCTATCTGCAATTTTAGGATCATAATCATCATATAAATCACCAAAATTAAGTTAATTAATTGCATATAAATATATGGAAAATTTGTCAGAAAGATACTTATATGC